GAATGGTGCTGTTTGGTGATTTTATGCATCATTTAGGTACAGCTGCAAATTGATAAATCACATTTCTACAGGTTTTATATAAATCACATATAATATTAACTAGTGCAATGAAGTGATTAACTCTCCCTGGCTCCTGGAACTGGGTCCTTAGGCAAAAGGGACTTTTCTTGACTATTTTATCTGCTTCTGCCAATTACTACTGGTCATGGCTTCCTAATCAGGGTTGAGTTTCCAAATGGGACTGTGAGCCTTGTGATAAGCCTGTTCTACATGCGTGGAGTGGCCTTTCCAAGTGGAATTCCACTTAGAACTAGTGTTATGCAACTTGATTTTTTTTTCTGCTCTTTTTGTGGGTTCCTTTTAATTAATTCCTATTTTAGAAGTTTGAAATGGTTCTAATGGCAGCATTCCTTTCTTTTTGCCATGTTGGACCTTTTCAGTGGTGTGAGGGAGGCTGTTGTTCACTGTATTATTTCAGAGCCCGTGCTTTTTTGCATTGCAGAGGTATTAAAAAGGCACCGAAGGCTAATTTGTTATTGTAGGATTGTTGATGATTTCAAGAACAGCTGTTACTTTTTGCTTTTTTTTTCTCCTAAAAGATAGATAATGTTGGATGCAGTGATTAAAGCTGGTATCCCAACACTTCTGCTCCAAGCCACAGCCCCTAATTGCTGAGGACAGGGCAGGAACCCAGAGAGACTTCTTGAAATCCAAATGAGAGGTGCCAGGTTGAATTCCCATCTCCTCCTGTGGAAAGCCCTCCAGGAGCTCAGCAGGGGTGGCAGCCACCCAGCTGGAGTGGGAGGAATGGGCAGGTGAGGTGAGGCTGGGAGGAAAACAGAGGTCTGAAGTTTCTTTTGTAAAACAGATGCAATTTTACAGGGAGGGAGGTAAATCTGTGCATTGCTGATCAGTGCACATTGGAAAATATCTAAGGAAGGGGAGGGACGTTCTTCCACTAATGGTATCTCAGCCATTACTGCAGCAGTGGGGTGCTGAGCATTTTGGGCAGGAGAGCATTGTTGGGAGACTTGCATGTGGCTAGATCCCACTGAATAGGGCTCCCTTGCCCACAGGTGACTATGGACTGGGCTAAAATAGGAACCTTAGCAGCATTGTCAGGATCAGCTAAAGATGACATTCAGTAAGGTGCTGGGAGGGAATAATGTCACCCCCAGTTTGCCTCTTCTACCTTCCTGTTGCCTGCAGTGCAGCAGCGTCGAGGTTCAAGTGAGGACAGTGAAGCAGAGAGGATCTGCCCTCTGGAGATGGTGAACACAACACTCTGAGTGTGACTTCCCCTTGCCCTAGCATAGCACAGCTACTGTTTAGCACAAGCACTGGAGGATTTGAGGGCTGTACAAGCCCCAGAGCTGAAGCAGTGCTGTGTAAGACCAAGCGCCCAGCCAGCCACTTGTTGCTTGTGGATGAGAACAAGAGCGTGGCAAGCCTACAGTGATGCATTTAAGGCCATAATTCAAATGATGCAAAAGCTTCAACATAAAGCCTGCAAACCTCAAAAATACTCATGAAATGTATCATTGATATGGGAGCTTATCCACTATTATAGATGGGAAAAGCCTAAACCAGATGAAGGGCTTGGCCCACGCTCAGCAGCAGAGCTGAGAATGTTCTTCTTCCCTGAGTGATGCTCTGAACTTTAGATGATCCCCTGAAAAAGTGGTATTTGAACTGCAGAGAACTTGAGATGTGGGGATATAAAGCTGGAATGTTTGAGGGGACAGGGGGAGGTCTTTCTCTCTTGCCAATAAAGTTGTTGCATTTGTTTTAATCTAAAAGCAGGAGTCCTCTAGACTACAACTGTAATTTTTTCCTTTTGGAAACATGAATTAGCTGGAAAGGGGAAAAAATTCATTAAGGAGGAAGAAAGTGGGACTCCTGAGTTGCATGATGTGGAAGTTGGGAATGCTGCTACAGTACACAAGAGGTGTGCCAAATTCTGAGGCTTTCGGAAATCATAAACGTTTACAAGCTTGCCATTTGCATTAGAGAATCAAAGCCTTTAGGATTCATGCGTTCAAGCTTTTTTCTCCTTACTATTATGACAATTTTTTTAAATGAAAATGAAGTTTTTCTCATGACTGCCTGGCTCCAGGAAGTAGAGCTGTAAAAACGTGCTTGGTTGCCAAACTAGCAGGAATGCCTTGAGGCTTGGCAACAAGCTGCTCTGGTTGGGCTTAGGACAGCTGCAGATACCTTTTCATAACAACAGGAAGGTAGGGCAGGAAGGTATATTCATCATCAGCTGAAAGTAGTCGAGAGTTAAATACCTACATTGGTTCTTGATTTTCTTAGGATCATAGAGTAATAGAACATTTGAGTTGGAAGGGAGCCTTAAAGGCCATCAGTCCAACCCCCCTGCAATGAGCAGGGACACCAACAGCTCCATCAGGTGCTCAGAGCCCATCCAGCCTGACCTTGAGCATCTCCAGGGATGGGGCACCACCACCTCTCTGGGCAACCTGTGCCAGTGCCTCACCGCCCTTATTGTAAAAAACTTCTTCGCTGTGTTCAATGTAAATTTCTCTTCTTTTAGTCTGAAACCATTTCTCCTTGTCCTGCCACAACAGACCCTGCTAAAGAGTGTGTCCCCTCCTTTCTTGTAGTCCCACTTTACATATGACAGGCCACGCTCAGGTTCCCTTCTGCAGGCTGCACAGCCCCGGCTCTGACAGCCTGTCCTCGTAGTTCCATCCCTTGGATACACTTCAACGTACATATGGTCTGGAATACCAATAAATCTGCCCCGAGGATACCTGCTAATGATTGTCCTAAAGATTTTACATCAAACTCACACCTCCCAAGATCAGCCTACAGTATAAATCAGTTGCTTCTGGTAGCTTTGGAAGTCGATGTTGGCATGGTGTTGACTCAGAAGCATGCTCCAGTCCATCTCTGTAGAAGGTGCCATGGCGGAGAGCCCCGTCACTTGGGAAGGTCCTGCGGAAGGCGGGCATTGCCCCCCAGTGGTGCGCTCACTGCTGAGCCTTCCTGCAGCAGAGGAGCCGCTTGCTCTCCGGAGATCTGCCCTGCTGCAGCTATGGCCGTGCCGTGCTGGGTGCTGCTGCACCCGGCGTCCTGACACAGCCCTCCCCTGGGCCTCAAGGCATGGAAACGAGAGCTGACAGCCGCACTCACCGTGCTTCACTTCTGCTCTGTCACACGGGACATCGGATTGACTCTCGGCTCTGCTGTCCTGGGGAAAGGTACAAAGCCTTCGTGCTGTGGGAACAGCAGCGGGAGCCGTGCTGAGGTGTGACTGGCAGGAAGGTTGTGTCACCTGGCTTTCCTTCCCAGAAAGTGCTCCCAGATGCTCAGCAGAGGTGTAGTGCCCCATGGATCCCGCAGAAAGAGCATCCCAGCACTTAAATGGGCATCACAGCTCCATGCAGGCTTGTGTAAAGTCCCTTAGAGCTCCCAGGCTGGGCACGGATGTGAGCAGGGTGAAAAGTCAGGCTTTTTATGGCTCTTTTTTTTTTAAACCCAAGTTTGCAGCCTTGTGAACATTCTGTCAGAGAAGAGGTGTTTTTTCTTCCAACACTTGGGCTTCTTGGCCTGTGCGACTCATTGTAGGAAGGCAAAATGTGGGAGCTGTAATAAGAGGAGATGTGGTTTAGCAAAACATAATAATTGGATAGGAAAACAGGGAAGGAGTGTGGGAAGCTTTTGGTGTTTTCACTGCACTAATCTGCAGGAACACGGCCTCTTACAATCAAGACATTTAAAATAGAAGTTAAGCTGAATAATAGGAAATTACTAAAAACTACTAACAGCAAAAAGAAGAATGAAAGATGAGGCTAGCTGCACAGCTTGTTTCCCTTATGTCCCTCTGTGGACAGTTTCATGGTATTCTTTCATTTCAAGGTCTCTGGTATTTTCAGCTTAAAATGCTAAGTTGCTTCATTTATGTAACATCTGAGATGATATTTGTAAGACAGCACTGTGTTTTAACCTTCATGTAATGTTCATTTACAAATCACATTGAGCCCAGTTTGAATTGTTAAGGGTTATTTTAAGCAGATTTTGTTTTGGCTAACAGGTACCAAAAGGAGGTACTTGTTCTGTATGTTGTGCTCAAAGACAGAGGTGTGGAGTCAGCGATGGCTTTACGTGTGCAAGTTCAATGCATGCTTTTATCTGATGATGGAAGTGGAGTGTGCTGAAGGTGCAGAGATCTTTTATCATTGCTTTCAGCAATTCCTTGCAGTCTGAAATGCCCAGTGCCAGGAGTATGTTTGGTACCCACCCTCTGATCTCCACATGGCAGGAAATTTGTTCTGTCAAGGAATGGCCCCGTCTCATCCCAGCGCAATTTAGGGATTGTAACCTCAGGATGCTGAGAAAGGGCTTTTGCCTGAATGAGAATGGCTCATGTGAAATGATGGGGGAAAGCTGCTGTGAAATGAAAATCAATGCTCATGCACAAATGCTGGTCTGGGAAGGCTGAGGAAACCATAACCCGATTAGCTTGAGTGGATGGTCAGACCTGCTCAGATTCCCGAATGTATCTCAGCCTTCATAAAGCAGACATGTATAAGGGTCTCCTCCCTCCTGACAGGTTTCCTCCTGTCACAGCAGCCCCCAGCTGATGAGGGCTGGGGAAAGCAATGCTTTATGCTGCTAAGTTCTGCAGGTTGCTCTGTTGTACAAATGAACATGTTGTAGTTCAGAGCACTTGGCAGCAGTCTGGTTGCTTTCATATATGATTCTATTCTTGGAATCAAAACTATCAAAACCCACAGCCCCTTTGCTTACAAGAGGAAGCAAGTGGAGTGCAGGGAACCACTTGGAGGTGCGGTTATGCTGTTATAAAAGTGGGCTCTCTGAGCTGGCATGGATGCAGTGCTGGCATCAACATTACCATAAAGAAGGATTTGCTCCAGTATCACCCAGTGCAGTGCAGACCACAGCCCAGGCTTTATTCACTGGCCTCCTGATGCGCTTGCAAATAACCATGCTGTTCTCCCCTCTTCTCGCAGCTATGGGTGAACCAAGAAGATGGAGTGGAGGAGGGAACCAGCGAAGTGCAGAATGGCCACTTGGATCCAAGCGCCGACTGCCTCTGTCTTGGCAGAACCGTCCAGAACCGAGATCAGATGAGAGCCAATGTCATCAATGAGATCATGAGCACGGAGCGTCACTACATCAAGCACCTCAAGGACATTTGTGAGGTACGTGGAGTTGTGACAGGGGGTTGCAGCAGCACACGTGATGGGCTGTGGAGACCTGAGGGCTGAGTTTGTCCCTGAGTAACGGGGAAGATGTAGCAGTGCGCTTATGAGTAGTGTGTGTAATAGAGGAGCAGCATCTGTCAATAAGTATTGATACTTCTGAGTATTTTCTGCTGGATCTGCTAATTAGCTTTGGTTTGTATTAACCAAAAGAACAATTTTCTGATCTTCTTTCTGTACTTTTTTGACTGAAAAATGATGAGGTTGAGATCATTCAACCATTTCTCTTAATTAAAGCCCATTGCCATCTACTTTTGAACAGTTGACCAAGTAGATTGTAATTAAATCTATCAGTTAACCATTTCATCTGTGTCTTTCACATCAGGTTCACAACTTCCCTTTGCTCAGAATGGCTTTTCTTACAATGGGATTGAGAGCAAAATGTTTTCAGTATGGGAAATGAAGTACATGACATTTACATAGCGTAAGGGAAACTGCAAGCAAGTGAACATTAATGACTGCACCCTCACATCCTCAGCATGGTTCTTCGTTATGCACAATTAACTCCCACAACTCCTTAGTGTCCTGCAGCCCTAGTACCATGAGCTGCATGTGAAGTGTAGTGCCTGTAGTGCTGGGTGCTTGGGAAGGAGAATGCACAGATGTGCCTCAGTGTGCTGCAGGACAGCCTAGGAACTGTCTTAGAGAGAGGGAGAGCTGTGTTTGCACAAAAATCACAGTCTGGGGCGTTCTGCTCATCCCTCTCAAGGTTTATGATTCCATGAATCCGTGTCCAGTTTTTCCAGAGTCAATGTGGTGAAACCCTTTGCACATTCTACTTAGAAAATGTCTTCCTCCTCCCTTCATACTTGCCACTTTTCTTTTGACAAGGCAAAGCAGCCAACCAAAAAAGCAACTGTGATGCTTTTCGAATATGGAAGAGTCTTGGGATTTCAATTTGGAAACAAATGAGCTTAATTTCAGTGTGCTATTTCAGTCAGAAGGTTTTGCATTAAAGAAGGGAAAAGCTGCAGGAACTTTTTTGCATCGTGCTTCTTTTCCTATATTTTCACTTTTCTATTGAAAAACGGAATAAATCTGAACTTACATTTCCTGGCCATGTCACCGTGCTTTTGCCAAATAAGATTCTCAGGAGGATACAGTTTTTGTGACATCTGTGGAGTAACAGTGATTTGCAGCACGTAACAACATGCACAATGTGTGAAAGAGATGTGTGATACAAAATGGTGTTGAGAGAGAAATCTGACTGCCAGGTAGAGCTCCAGGAAGTGACTCAGCTGTCTCACTTAGAAAAGGAGGACTGAAGTGGGCATTCTTGTCTGCAGAGTGATGGGCTGTCCCTTGCTCAATGCAATCAGAGCCATCAGTTTGCCTGGAGAAGGTTTGGAGCCAGCTCAGCCATGGCAGGCATTTTGGCACAGCATGACATGAGCGTTCCTGTTTGTGCCTGAGGGTGGGTTGGAGATGCCTTGAGCCCCTCCAAATGGGTTTGTACAGAGCTGATGTTTTATCAGGGAATGAGGAAATACCAGACACCTGCTGATGAGGTGCAGAAGTGCTGGTGGCAGTGGCAAGCTCCCCTTTTCCCTCTGCTCTTTTATTTGAAGGTGCCAGGACAAATGGGAGCAGTATGACACACTGGTGGAATGCAGAGCAGCGCTGGCTTGGTGGCAGAGGTTGAGCCTGATCTAGCATTGAGCTCAGCCATGTAGTCATACTCCCATTGCTGAATTACAATAAGAAGTCCTAAGGCCAGTGAGACACCTTAAGATATGAGGTTGCTGTCAGAGGATTGTAGCCTCTGTGAGGTGATTAAGAGCCATCCAATTGCTCTTTTCTGCTGTAGGATGTGTTCCAGAACCTGCTACCCTGTTATTATAGACCGTGTTATTATTCATAATACCCATGGCACCAGCCCTGCTAAGTCAGGAGCTCGCAAGCTAGCCAGCACCAGAATAAAAATTACCTGTGCTTCAGAAAGCAGCTGGCTTGGAGGGGAATCCCCCTCTCAGCAAACCACAGAGCACTGAGAATTGCTGCTGCTGTGCCCTTGCTCAGTGTGAAGGTCTGGTTGCTGCGTGGTGAAACAATTTTTGAAGATTTTTATGAGGGGCAAAATGCTGAGCTTTCTCTGGGCTGCATTATCCGGTGCAGATGGATTTTAGTCTTTAATATCACCAAGGGGAAAAGAAGGAAAAAGAATCTAGCCTTAGGGAAATATCCAGCAATAGGAATTTGAGGCTTGGCAGTTAAAGCTTAGAAAAATAATCAGCTACTGAAAACTAGGCTTTTATAATGGGTAGCAGCAGCCAGCTGCTGCACTGGGGCTCTGAGCCTGGGAAGGCACGGGGTACATCCCTACTGGGGTGACACCAGCACAGCAGCCGAGGTGTTGGGACAGCAGGCGGCTCGATGGGAGCAGTGAGCGCCAAGGGACAGGAGGGGGGAAACACCAGCCAACTTCCATTGCTGCATTTTTGCTCTCTCCCAAGTCATATCACTCTGAATTTATTTTTTAATAATGCTGGCTGGATCCCATCTAAGATGTGCTTTGGTGCCAGGACAGCTCTGAGTGCTGAATGGCAGTGCTTCTCAGCACGTGGAGTCGAGTCTGTTGTGCAGAGCTGATGGGAGAAGCTTTCGCATGGTCCAGGTGGCATTAGTGACTCATCCTCAGAGGTGTAGAACGACTGCTTTTCTGTGCTGCCTCGGACACGAGCAGCATAAAACCCTCCTGGTAGTGCTGTGGTGCACCTCCAGAGGACCTCTGTGGGACTGCTGGCACTTCTGTATGGCCAGTTTCTCATCTGTGGCTAGCAGAGTGGAGGGTGGTTCTGTAGAAAGTTGTATAGATTAATTAGGACATACATACATACATGTATTCTCCAGTATGTGACTTGCAGTTACCTTTTGCTGCTTGCTTGTGCACTCCTTGTTTTTCTCCTTTGGAGCTGGCTCCTTCAGTGTCCTTCTGAGGAACCAGCTTGTGTTCCTGGTGGATTTTGTTGTACATTGTAGGTGGTTCTTGGGCAATCCGTGGTGCCAGTGGGAAGGAGTGCAGCCAGACTGGTGCACAGTCTGTGCCTGATGTGCAGTACTTCTGTTGCCTACTGCTTCAGAGTCCTGACTGCCTGGGAGCAGGCACAGCTCTAGTGTGCCTTTTTCATTCAAACAGCCTTTGCCTTGTTCTTAGGTTAGTCTTGGGTTTGCATGCATGGGCGTGATGCTCACCTGGATGTGTGAGCACTGCTCTAGTGAGTAGTGTTTTGATAGTTCAGATGGTGCTTGTCCGAAGTGAGGGCAGTCTGCAGGACATTGTCTCCCCCAGACTGGCTCAGAGCTGAGGAAAAACAGAATATTACCATAGCTGCCTTTTAACTCACAGCCTGCAGCAGCTGTCATCTCCTCATTCTTGCTGCAAGTGCTCTCCTCGTTCTCAGCAGGACAGGAAGGACAGATGGATTGTCCACCTCTCCTGACTGTCTCTAAACCCACTTTGGGGTGGAGAAAACTTAGCACTTAACCTCCTGCAAATACTTTCTAACTTTGGCCTATACCTCAGGGACGACATGGAAATGTACTTTAAAGGGAGACAGTTTGACAGCTATTTTTAGGTATTCATTGAGCAAAACACACTCCAACATCTGCTCATCAGTCAGCTATCCCTTTTCTGAGCAAACCTGATGGAATGAGCAGGAGGAAGATGACATTGTTTTATGTAACAAAAGTAAATTTACTGGAAAAAATATGCAGCATCCTTCATGGTGCTTGCTGCATGTTATATCTGAGTCTTCAGCCTCCCCTTTGCTGGAAACCAAACATCACATGCACAGGCTGGGTAGAGGATAAGGCTGGGAGCTGAGTGCATGCACTTAGTCTCCCCATGGTTTTATAAGTGCCTGTGCAGAAATGTGCTGCTTCAGCTTCTCTGGAGCACGTGACTTGGGCAAAGAGATGAACCAGCAGCAAGAGGAGAGGGGATTTTCAAGACAGAAGCTGCAGCCAATAGCAACCCCAGGGCTGAAAGATGTTCATATAAATAATCTGTGGACTGATTTCACAGAGCAGTGTGTGCATGAGGGGAGCCTGGCTTGCAGGCAGCCTGCAGCGTGCAGCAGGGCAAAGGTGCTGACACAAATGCCTTGCAGCAGCTGTTCAGCATTGATAGCACTGCAGCCACTGCCAAAAGGAAGACCCTGGCTTCGTGGGCAGGTCCATGCATTATTGTTTTTGTAGCTGTTCTAAGATAAGCAGGTAAACATGAAAAGGAGCATGGAAAATATTCTGCATTATTCTTTGATAGTTTGAAATGTCATTTGCCATTCAGCTGTCCTGCAGCATGGGAACCAGCGTGCTCTCATTCCTCCTGGCCTTGAAAAATGAGACAGGGAAACCCAGGGAAATGAGTCATCAAGGAGCTGCTGCAAGAAGAGAGACCTAGATTTAGTAAATGGGGAAGGTATTCCATAAGCCAAGCTTCCCGGCTGTTAAAGCAGGCATGTTCAGGGTAACGGCATCCTTCTAGCTGAGCTGGACATTGCAGAGGCTGGTTCTTTGCCAGCTCGGCCGAAGTTGCATTTATCATTCTGCAGTTTGAAGTTCTCCCTCCCAGAACCACATGGTGAGGCTGAAGGACACTTTATTATAGCGTTCCAGTAGCTTGCATTATGGACCAGCAGCTGCGTGTCACCAGCTGGCACTTCGTCTGTGTGACTAAGCATCTAGAGCTCCCAAATATAGCCAACCAACTGGAGCTGTTGGCATTTTTTTCCCCTTCATTTTTTTTTTCTCTCCCTATATAATAAACATAGGGAAAGTCATCACATGATGACCCCTGTATTATTTTCTTTTCAACCAAGAGGCCACAATCCCGAAAAGGCCAGCGTAGCATTTGCTATTTGGCCTAGCAAGGTTTCTAGTCTAAATCATGCAGACAGGCAAAGTGCAGGGGGGTGAAGTGATTTGCTCAATGTCACATGGATCTGTTCAGGGTCAGAAATTCAGCCCAGGCATCCCAAGCCTCTGTGTGTCACCGCATCCCCTGGACCACATATGCTTCAGGCAAGTGTGTTTGAAGTCATCATGATTCAGCTGAAACCAGGATGGCAAGTTCATGGGCAAGGCAGGCTCAGCAAAGCAGGGAGGCAGGCAGAGCTCAGTGCGTTACACTTTTTGATAGAATATTGATCCACTCCATCTTTTTAGATTGGGAAGTCTTCAGAGCAATGTATGATGTCCAGCTAAAGTTGGGCTCAGCACCACTGAGCACCATGGACAAATGAAGACTAAGTAATAGGGAGCATTTTGTTCTTGCACTGGACCAGGATGCAGGAGATCTGAATTGTTGCCAGCTCTACTGCAAATTCCCTGTTATTTTGGAGAATTTCCTTAAACTCTCTGCATCCCAGTTGTTCCTCTCTCGTTCTCCATTTATCTCGCACAGCTGTAGACTCAGTGGGAGAGTCTGATGTTTGTACAGTGCAGGACACAAAGCAAGAAAAGCAATAAAAAGTGACAGCTGAGAAAACAGGGCAGAATTTCTGCCTGTTTTGTGCCGTATGGAATAACATATTCGGGATAATCTCTTGGAGGATAAAAGAAACAAAAATTAAAATGAGGCTGCTTTCCTCTAGATGGCATTGATCAGTGGCTGGTGCTGCTCGGGCTGGGCCAGCTGGAGCGCCCACCTCGGCTCCTGCATTGCCTCAGTGCTGTGTGGTGCTCACAGCACTGCAGCCCTCCTGCTTTTTGGGAGGGGAGCAATGTGGGGATGTGTTGCCTGCCACGTGAGGGAAGGCCAGTTGCCTTCAGCATTTTGCCTGGTCCTGAAGTTCCTCTGGGTGGATACGCCGGCCATAGCCTTCCTCCCAGAGCAAGGGTGTGCTACCACACATTGAAGAGTATTTCTCAGCATGACTGACAACTTCCTTGTCCTGATTACTGTGGCCAGAAAGAGAAATCAGAGTGGGCTGAGAGCCCCTCATGGCTTTGTGTGTACTGCCACGTGCTGCTGAAGAGGATGTGAGAGCAGCAATGTTTGTAGGAGCTGCCTGTGATAGCGGGTATTGCAAGGCAGTGGGTTTTGAAGGGATGAGTAACACACCTCTTTGGAACTATCAGCTCCATTTACCATTCTCTGCAGCACAGGTGGGGACAGAGCAGTTTCAGGCTGGCTGAGATCTCTGGAGAACTTTCTGTTTGCTAACGTAATTTATACTAAATGCTGAGGGATGTTGAGGCAGAAGCCAGCACTGCTTCTCCTCTGTGCTTTCCTGTGTACACGCCATCCTCTGACGCAGGCTGAGAAGCCTGGTACACGCTGGCGTGTCCTGGGCAAGGATGGTGCTGAGGTCTGCTCTGGGTTGCGGTGAGAACCGTGGCTGCAGGTGCCAAATGTTGCAAATGAGATGTTGTCTGTCAGAAAAGGGTTCATAGCATTTCCAGGCATGTTTCGCCTACTGTGTGTTTAAATGTAGAGAGGAATTGATAGAGAATCAAGAAAAATCTGGAAGCTGCCTCTGTGGTTGGATTATTTTATGGATTGCTCTGTCCTACTTCTTACAGGGTTACTTGAAGCAGTGCCGAAAGAGAAGGGATATGTTCAGTGATGAACAGCTGAAGATCATCTTTGGGAACATTGAAGATATCTATAGATTTCAGATGGGTTTTGTCCGGGACTTGGAGAAACAGTACAACAACGAGGATCCCCATCTCAGTGAGATCGGACCATGTTTCCTTGAACACGTAAGTTCGTTTCGAAATTTTATCTAGGGAGCTGGGGGGTGTTTTTGGGGGGTGTAGAAAAAGTCAGAAGGCAGGAACCACACAGCATCTAACTGCCATCCATCAGTTCTCTTCTGTTCTAGTTATAGTAGTGATACACCACAGGCTACTCCATGTATCCACTTTGTGAGGTACAGATGCAGGGAGGACTCCAAGTGAAGCACATAGTTGGATAATCCCCCCGCTGCATTTGAATCCCAGCATGCTTCCATATCCACTCTCATATTACGTAGGTGCAGTGTCCCTCAAATCATCTTCATCCTCTTTTTCTCTTCAAAATATGACTTAAAACCCTTCACAAGCCATCCCAATCAGATCAGGGATGACCAGGCGGTTGGAACAGGTAAGAAAGAGGAGTAACAAGAAGCCTTAGTTGTGCATTACATTGAAAAGTGGAGGAGTACAAATGGCCAGGGTGCTCACTCATGCACTGAGATGCATTTACAAGGGCTGAAAGAACCTGTGAAGCTTCGATGTATACCTCAGCAGGATGGCTGGGCCAGGGGTGAGGTGGCAGCTCACGCTAAGTGTGCACCAGAGAGGATATTTTAGCTGATGTCTGCAGTCCTGGAGATTTGGCCCTGCCCGTCATGCTGTTACATAAAGCCACGTGCTGCAGGTGCTGTTAGATTGGCCAGTGCTGTAAAGATGTCAGGAAATGTCAAGGAAATTACAGTCCTGCAGCTTTAGGCTTTCTTTTAGAGAGACTGAAAAGCTGTATCAGAGCGTACACTTGAGGTGCTGTGACCCAGGATGTGCATCCTGTACTGTGTTACTTACATCAGGGCTGAACTAGTGACTGTATTAGGGACAGCTGCAATAGGAATTCATGAAACTTCAGCAGGGCGTCCCTGAAAAGACTTCTGGTATCTCTTAAGCATTGCTGCACTTCTAATTAAAAGGCAAGTTTATTTTTGAGAAATTGCATTTTAACAGTAATGTTGCTCACTTTTATCAGAGCCTGCAATCTCTGCTGTTCACTTCCACAGCAGCAGCATATTGCACCTTTGTGCAAAAAAGATGGGAGAAATCTTGGTGCGAATCAGTAGCTAAAACTTCATGTCCTAAGGCTGTGCTGTCAATTCATTTATAGTAACAGTAGTAAAAGCTACTGCTGCTATTCAGAGCGATATCTGACACTTCTTGTCTTCATTCTGTCTGAAAGCCAGCAAAGGGTGGCTGGGCATGCATGTGTGTGTGCAAGTGGGCTTCTTGTTTGTTTGTTTTTCCAATCTTTGGTGCTTTCTGAACCTCTAAGCACAGGGAACTCCACACAGTGGTTGGTTCATGGGGATCCCTGTTGGTAGAGAGATGTTCAGAACTACCCAGACCCCAAGCACTTGTCAGATGCTTCATGATCCCTCAGGTAAAGAGCTCTAGAAAAAGCAAGATTGTCTTGTACCACTGAAGGCCAGAGCTGTGGCTTGGTTCCACCTTTACCTTTTACGGAGAAAATTACTCCACTCAATTCGAAATTGAGAACACCCCAGCACTGCACAGGGGTTTGCTTTAACACACCTGCTGCTTGCAGAGACTTTGGCAGTGTGACAGCACACAGGGCCTTCTCTCCTCCCTTTCACCCCAGAGCAACCTTCTCTGAGCAGGGACAGAATTCAGGATCAGCCCTTCCTCCTCCTACAGGGGTATGACTTTTTCTTTAGTCATAATGTTGGTGATTGACTGACGTGTGATCCCTTCCCTCCTGCCTTTCACAGCAAGATGGCTTCTGGATCTATTCAGAGTACTGTAATAATCACTTGGATGCGTGCATGGAGCTTTCCAAGCTGATGAAAGATAGCAGGTACCAGCATTTCTTCGAAGCATGTCGTCTGTTGCAGCAGATGATTGATATTGCCATAGACGGTTTCCTACTGACACCAGTGCAGAAGATCTGCAAATACCCCCTGCAGCTTGCAGAGCTTCTCAAGTACACCGCACAGGATCACAGGTATGGGAGTGCTCCTCTTACACAGCGGGGTTTTGCTCAGTGCTTCTTTACATGGACTCTGCACACACACAGGGGTTGGGGTTTTTTTCTGTCCAGCTCTTCTCTTCATGACATCTTGTATAAATTGAAGCAGGGCAAAGGTTCAGCAGATAGTTAAAAAGCTTCTCAAAGCATTGATTCTCAGTGGAGCCAAGCTCATCTCTCTTATAATCAGACATGTGAACTAATTACCCTTGGTTGTACTTTATGATGCTACCAGTTACACTAGAAAAATTACTTAATTAGCACTCAGTGGTCAGAAAGGCTCATTTCTTTGTCCTAGAGAGGACCCCAGCACACAGCAGGTGGAGGGCTGGGATCCACAACTCCAACCTGAGTATGCTTAGATTTTGGGATAATTCAAAACCTGTTCTGCTTTTCAGCCCGCTTCTGTCTCTGGTTTTGTCATTGGCTTTTTAGGATCAGATAAGCATCTGGCAGTCGGATTGCTTCTTCCAAATTTTAAGGATTTCTTTTGTTTGTGATGAGGGCCATCAACCTGACTACCTGCCCTAGCATAAATCAGGAGTAGTACCTATGATATCAGTTGTGATAGATGAAAGAAGAATGAAGCCCTCTGGGGATATTCCCCTACCTTGCCAGTATTTTTTCTGTCCAAAACCTATTTAAAGTGAAATAGTTAAAGAGAAAAAAAAGACCACAGAGATCTCAGAAACTTCTGCAAGGGTTCAATTTTTTTTGTTTTTCCCCAAAATCAGCCTTGGAAGTGCACAGAGAAGTGACACAAGCAAAGGGATGCATTGATTTGCTCGGACCTGGTTCACTAGTTCCATTGCTTCCTAGTTGCTGAACGCTCGGCTGATAACCACCTATTTGGACATGCATTTGGCTCCAGATCCAATTTCTCTTTTTCCTCTCCTTACCAGACCAAATCAAACTTGGAGTGGACTCATGGGAATGTTAGGGTATCAGAAACTCGCTTGAGGATCCCAGATGTTGTGGCTTGTTTTGCTCACCAGCCATGTGATGTTCCCACAGTACTTACAGTGTGAACTTAGATGTGTGGCTTCACAGTGGGGAGACATAAGCAGCCCCAGAGAGGAGAGGTCTGTGTTTAAAATGACCCCCTCTGAGTTATTTGGTGTTGATACCAAAGAGGATGTGGACAGGGTGGTTACACAAGGATGAACTATTTTGAGTACGTTCCTTTGGGATGTTTTAAAATCAGCTTGTTGCTAAGCTATTGGCTACAGTCACTTTCTGTGAGACTCAGACCTTCCCTGTGGATAAGCAACAGTTGGTTCATTCAGACAGACAGCCCTGCATCAGCCCCATGCTGTGCTCTGGTTAGTGTGGGATGCCCCACTCACAGCGGATGGCTTTAAGACACAGAAATATGGTGGGTTACCCCACACTCCCTTGTGGTCTCACTCTTCTGATTCAAGCATTCAAACAGCCTGGGAGCAACCAGTTCTCCTGGCAGCCCAGCTCATGTCCCAGACCTCCCTTATGCCATTGAGCAATTTGCAGAGTAAGGCAAAACTGAGTAAGGACTGGGAGTCCCTATGAAAGCAAGTCTTAGGTTCATATGAGAGTGGGAGATTTCATTCTTCTTCTCTGCTGGCTCCTATTCACTAATATGGTGCTTGTAGAGCTAGGCGTTTTCCCTGTGCCAGCTCAGGGCAGCGGAGCAGCGATCAGCAGCCTGAACACTCCCTCAAGTAACATGGGTCTGGAATTGCACCCTGGTTGACCCCTGGAAAGAGGTCACTGCATTCCCAAAGTAATCAACGAACTATTTATTTTCCTTAATGTTATAGTCAGTGCTGCCCTATTATTAATTCACTGTCCAAATGCTTTGCTTCTGTTATTTTTTCTTCTAAGTTTTGCCAGCTCTGCCACAGATGTGGGCTAGGAGCCCAAAAAGTTCAGGCGTGACTCTTTCTTCACTACTGAGTGAAAGGACGTACACGGAGTTTTCTCCTCAAATAGAACATTAGAATTAGTGAATTAGCATAACCAAGATAAAACCCAGCTTGATTGGCAATGGCCACTGGGCACAGAGGCAGGCATGGGGGTGTTTTCAAAGCCTGGCTCCCTTCAATTGCTCATTGTTTTGAGCCTGGTTCATTTGAATTTTTCACAAAGCCACATCTGTTCACCTCCTAAAGGTTTGCACCAGCTTAATATGAAGTAAATGTATGAAGATCCTAAGTGCAGCTTGCTGGTGTCCTGAGTGCTCCTGCTGCAGATTGGGGCTGGGATTCGGAGTGTGAACACAATACGTGACGGACACTCTGCTAAATGGGTGCACTAAAACCAACCTCTCTTTTTTGTACAGAGATTATTAATGACCAGCTCCGTACCCTGCACCTTTCCCTATCACTGCAGTTCCTTTCTGTCCCCAGTGACTGACCTTTTTCTCTGCAAGAGCTCATGGATATTTTGAAGACCAGAGTAGCATGTCTCATTGGCATAGCTTGGTTTCTCCCTTGTGCAGACAGGCTTTTGCTTCTTAGAGATGGCCACAGAAGGGAAGGTGCTACAGATCCTTTGTTGTGCACTGGGATGTGTCTGTCAGGCAGCTCATCCTCTATCCTCCCTCACTCAGGGACCAGCCCCGATGGTTGGGATTTTGTAGGATTTTTTTAACCCCAGCTGGAGTTTCGACATAAGGATTGAATAAAAATTGATCTCAAGATTTCATCCAGAAAAGGGTGGCAAAATAGCAGATAATATTCCACTGTGTGGTGTATTGTGCTTGTTTCTTAGTGTTTATCCTGTTTGGATCAAATAAGGAAATGAATCTAAAGCTTTTCTCTAATTCACAGCACTCACCCCTATTTTAGCTGTCACCAGTGCAATTCTTTAGCAATAATCAATAAAGCCATTCCCCTCACAGCTGCCTAAGATCACAGTTTTTCTCATTAGTCAGCAGTCAATATCAGCCCTTAAGTTAATAATAAATGATGGTGGCGTTACGGCAGTGGCCTTGTCTGTCTTTCCGATTGAAATGAACATTAAGGTTCCCTGGAATGGAAAAGAAGGCACAGGGCGGAAATCAATAGCATTGATTTCAGCATCACTTTTTGAAAAGACTGATCATCATCTTTGTTGGCCCTGGTGGGAAGCTATTTGCACTCTGTGTTATTACACTCACAGGCACGTCCGGGAAAAAGAGAGAATGGTTTTGATTTGCTCACCTGAAGCCTGCAGTGTGAGTGAATGCCACTGGATAGTGCTCTGTGGCTCTCTTGGAGTTAGCTTTGGTCTGGAAGGGGCTCCAACTTGTCTAAGTGAAACATATTTTCAAATGTTCATCCTAAAAACATAAAAATCCAAGCCCAAAGACAGAGCTGACCAAAATGGTCAGATTTTCTCTTAGGATGCTCTTCAGTGAGCACCTTAAGACTTTAAAGAATGACATCCAAGCTGCTGCAAATTGGGTTGGCAGAAGCCAAACTGCTCTCAGTGGGCTTCCAGATGCAAGCCATTGAGAAGCTTCTGTCTTCATGTCTCCTACACACGCTGTTTTGTTTGCAACCTAGCTGCCCTTTTTCAGTGGTCCAGAAAGACGTTGCCAATGCATTGTAGTAACGAGTGGCAAATCCTACCTCCCTTTCTTGCTAAAAGGGTGGTGAGATTATGCAGCCGACAATAAGACTGCTATGTTTCCATTGCACATCGAGCTCCGTTTCATGGGCTTCTCTTCTGTGTTCCACAGTGACTACAGGTATGTGGCTGCTGCTCTCGCCGTCATGAGGAACGTGACTCTGCAGATCAATGAGCGGAAGCGGAGACTGGAGAACATTGACAAGATAGCTCAGTGGCAGGCGTCCGTTCTGGACTGGGAGGTATGGAACCCGTGTTAGGGGCTATAAAGCTGGATGAAGGCTGTTCCATGCAGCTGTTGGAATTATCCTATGCCACGCAGCTCATTTCACGCAGCCTGATCTGGGTGTGTGTTGGAGAGGACTTCGGAACTGGGGGCAGAGGAAACGTACTTGCAGGCTTTGGAGATGGAACTTAAGATTTAAAACATTAATGGTATTTTGAAGAAAATCTAGGGTCTAGTTCCTATTTCATAGACACAAATCCTGAGTAACTTCTGTGATTGAAGTGCTGTTGTCCTGGCAGTAAGAGAGATTAGGGTCTAATTCAGTGCGTTGTGATTCTGTGCTTTGTGGCTGGGGAAGAAGTAGGGAAAGCAGTATAAAAAGCCCTAGAAGTTGTGACAGTTTAAAAAAAATGACAAAAGCTGGTCTTATGATTAGAAGCCAAGACATTAAGCTGAAGTTATAGATGCTGTCTGCACGTTTAAAATGAGTATCCTTTTAAAGATATTTCTGAGCCAAGTCAATGAGTACTTGCAGTATAATGAACAAGCTGCAAAGTACGAGCAAGGGAGTCAGCAGAGGGATTCCTCACTAGCTCTGCTACATTCTGCCATGTGCTTGAAAAGGCAAATCCAAACAAAGCATTTGTTCTTTTTTTCTCATCCTGAATTTTTTGAATCCTTGTATAAATGTAACCTGTGAGTTGGCTTTCTAAGCAGAGCAAAGATGAGCATGTTTGTAAATCACTTTCTGTTTTAAATCATTGATCCGTGTATTCAGCAAGTGATAGAATGGTCTCCTTTCTTACAGTCATGAAGGTTTGGAATAACTTCACTTCAAATCATTGGGATCACACTGTATCAATTACAGTATATGGGGAAGTCACAGAGTTTGTTGGGAAATGGTCTAGGAAGGCAGGGAATAGAGAAGGAGAAATGCAGGTGCATTTCTCCTTGTGATTGTGTATCTTCCTTGACTGAATTAGTTTTGTTGCTATAATAAAGGTTAGATTCAGCCCTGGATCTCTTGATAAAACATGTAAGTGCAGCAATCATAGCTGGTTCTTACATTTTGACGGGCAGTGAGAGCAGAGAATACAGATGATTTGCTTGATTGTTTTATTGTTGTTTGCTGTGCAGAAAGTTCCCTGATACTGACACCCAGGCTCATTTTCAGCATTAGGAAATTGCTCTCAGGGAGGCACAGGACCATCAGATGTATCTTCAGCCTGCAGTATATTCAGTGCGATGAGCTAATGTGTGTCGTTTGTAAGAAATGCCACGACCCTCACTGTAAATAAATCTAGATTAAGGATGGATCAATTCCAAGTCAGTGAATATTCACATGCAAGTGGAAAGCCAAGGTGACCTCCACATAGGATCTGTGAAACAGCAGTTTCTTCTTCTCTTCCATTGGCTCAGTTGATAATTCATTTTTATTTCGCTATATCCTTGATAATTCACTCCTACTTAGCCATACCTATTCTTTATCTCCATCCTATCCTCAGGATCTTGCCGAATCATTTTTCCAAGGGCTTTTTGACTACTTTTCCAGATTTTAAGCACAATATTGCAGCGCCATCCTTCAGCTTCTCCTAATGCAACAGAACTGCTGTTGCTGCCACTCGGGGATCCAGCAGGAATAAAGCTACTGCCCTTGTTCAAAGAGAAACACCATTCTTGCCATTCTTATACTGTGTTTTGGGTGGGAACACTAGAGGATGAGATCTAAATGCTGCAGAGGACTTTGCTTGATTCTTTCCTCTGAAGTAACGTCTGAACCACCAGACCCCACTGCACAGATGCCCACATAATGGGCAGGAGGACACACAAAAACAAACCCAGAATACGCAGAAGTGAACTATAGCGTAATTCAGGAAGAGAGCAGGAGAAATCAAAAGCAGTGCCAGGTGCTTAGATGTGTCCTTGATCTGTACAGTTGCTCTGTATGCACAGCAAACCTGGGCTGCTGACCTTCAAATGATCTCAGCCTCTCCCAAGCCATCAGGGCTGGATTTCCTTGCCAGCTTGCAGGGCTTCCAGCCCTCTTCCCATACAGGTGGGCTGTTAGGAACTGGGAGAGGGCTTTCCTGGTACATCTCCCTAGTCTCTTCCAGTCCCTGGGGAGTGTGCACTGCTTGTGTGGATTGGAGAGCAGAATGTGAGTCCCAGTTCTTTGGAGGAGGACAGCCATCTGAGAGAAGGTGACCCGAAGTCAACTTTGAACTTCTGGAAGTGCTTATCCAGTTAAACTCTCACTGAAACAGAGGCAGGAACCTACAGTGGTTACCCTTCCATCTTCCCGTGACCCTAATCCTCCTCTAATTACCCTCAGTACTCAGAAGCACTTGTGTGTCCCTTGTGTGTCCCAGTGGCTTCCTGATCTCTCCAGTTGGAGCATAGATCTGGGGACAGCTCAGTCTTGCTTGGGACAAACAAAAAGAAACCAAACTCCAGACACAGAGCAGTAGGAACAACCCCAAGTACAAAGTAGGAACAAGGAGAATAATGGGCAGCTCTGGCATTTATTTTCTCTCCCCCGCCAGAAATTTATCCCGTGCACAAGACAGATAATCCCTAATCAGTATTTTACACTCAGTGAATTGTGTCAGCAGCAACCAAGAGTAAAGCAGTTTGAATGCTGAATTCCCTCCTTTGGAAAAAATGTCTCTGTTTTTCCTTAACATCTCTCTACTAACAATGTTGATGCTCTGATTCGAAATAGCTTTTTAATTTCTGAATCTTCCCATGTTTTGTGATAAGATGTTGGAAAAAGAGTTTTAAAAGAGAAGAAAAAATCTGAACCAAGCAAATATTTAGTGAGTGAATATTTAAACCGTTCTTGTTTACAAAGTGTTTGTACTCATATTCTCACAAGCAGAGGGTGTTTTGGGGAATGCATACGTATTGCTGATCCTAAAGCAAATAGAAAGAGCAGGGGGCATGTCCTGGCTGATCTGGGCAGGAGGGGTTTTATTGCATCCCATGGAGTTGTGCCTGTGTGTTTCAGGAGTCATTTTTAATCCACTAAGATTTTCTGCATGGCCCCATGAAGGTGAATTTCAGGGTCAGCACAAGAAAAATGCGGAATTCCTTCAGCTGCCAAAGCCAGGGCTTGTTTTCAGGCTTGTTTTGCCACTTCAGTGGGGGCTGCTGATGTGCATTGCAAATGGCACCAAGAAGGGCAGCCCTACTGCGGGGCAGCTGCTGGGTGCTGCAGCACCAGGGCGCCAAGCCTGAGGAATTGCTGCTGGCTTCGTACATGGAGTGACTGAGCAAAATCAGGAGGGAAGATTCCGATCTCACTGACTGCTGTAAATTAGAAACAATCCCCAATCACTATGAAGTGTGTTCCTGTGTAATTTGTAGGAGCGTGGTGTTGACCAGCAAGTCTGCATTGGACTGTTGCCTTGTGTGACTCACTTTTTTGTTTTGGATTTCCAATGAGTGGACCGACTCAGAGAGGTGCTGCCCTGCCTACATGGAATGCTCTAGGGCCGTTTGTTCTTTTGGTTGTTAATGGTGTGGAACATGGGGCTTCTACCACCTCCTGCTGAGACCTTTCTGTGCCCGAGAGCTCTTGTGGTTATGAAGTGCTTCCTGATGCTCAGCCTCTATTTCCCTTTGCTTGGTGCCATCCCCTCGCCGGTGGTTCAGTGCCCTCAGGTCAGAGCAGGGATGTGTGAAGGCAGCAGGCAGTGCTGGCATGCAGTTAGTTGCAGCAGGCTCGGAGCAGCGTGCCAGGTCTGCTCTGGGTCAGTGGGAAATGTGCCGGACAGAGCCTGTCCTGGGCTACAGCTCTCAAAGGGTAGCCAGCAATGTGTATACGATGGCACTCTAAAAAGAAGAGTTCCTCAAAGCCCATCATTTTTTCTACGTCCTTGCAGCCCCAGTTTGGGCAGTGCTGCTTATACAGGTGCCTAGGAAGCAGGATGGAGGTGGCAGGAGTGGCATGGCCCTGCCTTCCTCTGTCTGCTCTGCTTGGGACTGCACAGCCTGCAGAGAGCACGCTGCCAGCCTCTGCCCTCCTCCAGCCTGTGCCAGCCCACCACACGCTGCAGAGCTGCTGTGGTGATGGCACGGTGCGGGCTGCTCCAGAGGGAGCTTAAAGAAAGGGTGGATAGCCATGTTTTACATTGTCAGACCATGACAGGACAAAGGGGAATGGTTTAAAACGAAGAGGAGAGATGCAGGTGAGATGTGAGGAGGAAATTCTTTACTCAGGGGGCGGTGAAGTCGTGGCAGTGCTGCCCAAGGCTAGGTGCCCCAGCCTTGGAGGTGCCCAAGGCCACATTGGATGGGGCCTGGCAGCCTGAGCTGGTAGGGGCAGCCAGCCCACGGCAGGGGTTGGGACTGGATGGGCTTTGAGATCCCTTCCAACCCAACCGTTCAGTGATTTATAACCTTGCCATTTGCTTGGGCAGTGTCTGCAGTGCCCGCTGCAGCCCTTAATGCACCCTTGCTCACTGAGTGCCCGCCGCAGCTGCCGTGCTGATGGGAAGCAGATGTGTGCTTTGGCAGACCGTGGTGCTGCTCCCATCAGCCCGGCTCTGCTTGGAGCAGGGAGCTGTGGCCGGGCTGCTCTTCCCATGGCTGCCATCCCTGGGAGGGATCAGCCGTCCCAAGGCAGCAGTGGGGTGTTTGGTGCAGGGCAGAGCCTCGCTCCCAGCCTCGATTAGCCTGAGCCTGCTATTTAAGTAGATTACTTTGGTTTATGCAGATTTCTAGATATTGCTACCCGAGATTCCCGTGGGTTGCCACTTTGGCAGATTGCATGAGTATTAAATTTACATGAAGGGTAAAGGATATGTAATTGCAAAATATAATGAAAACTGTCCTTTTAAATCTCTTCCCATTCTCATTATTTACTGATCCTTTAAATCAAGACTCAGTGCCCTTAATTATGTAATACATAATAGTTGGCTTCGGCCTAATATTATGTTATTGAATCCAAGAATGACACAGAAAAAAAAAGATGCATGCAACCAACATGCTATTTTCAAAGTGAGGACAGCCTGATGAGAAATCCTCCCAGGGAAAAATCACAACAGGGACCGAAACAGATCCTTCTGCTTTTTTCTTTTCCTCCTTTATTTTTTTTTTCCCAGCAACAGAAGGTATCAAAAAAGGAGCCTGATGAAAAAGACAACATTTCTCTCGCTTTCCTTTTTTCTGATCTTTCTGTAGCCCAGAGTGCTAATCAGCCTGTCAATCTCTAATTAAAGAACAGCAGTGTCAGGCAGAAGAGAGCCCTGCTCGCTGAATGTTAACTAGGAGAGGGGATTTAGTGCCCGGCAGTAACAGTGAGGAGCATTCATCCAGCAGCACTGCTTATGTGACATCGGTAAAACCCTTTGGTTCCTCCTAGCTCCTTGTTGCAGGGTGACTGCCCATAGCACAGTGGTTACCTGTCGCAGAGTGGTCTCTATAGCACGGCTGGGGGAGCTGGGGATTGCTGCCTTCCCATAGCAGCAGGAGCACTGACCTCTGCTCGGAGGCAGGATGAGCCCCAGGACATAGGCATCACCCTGCAATGCTCAAGAGAGCATGGGGCATGCATCCAGCCCACATCTGCTCCCTGCGCATGCAGGAGTGCTGATGACTGCATGCAGAAGAGAACCCCTCTTTCTTTCTTGCCCTCTGTTTGCAGCTGGATGCTCAGTTCCAACCAGGCTGGCCTGAGGCTTTTTATTACTGGCTGGGGCTGCTCAGGGCTGTAGGGCTGGTCCCAAACTGTCTGAACTATGACATTTCCAAATGTGCTAATCCAGCACTGGAAATCATCCGCTTCCAGCCTATAGACTGTATGTGAAAATTATTTTCACAGCATAGAAAATGCAATACAAATCCTATCATTTCGGATCTGATTTTTTTTTGTTTAATATTGCTTGCAGGGACTACACAGTTTGGATCTAGCTAATCAAGTAGAAGTGTTTACGGAGCCCTCTGTGTGTCCTCAGGCTTGAGATGCTACCACAGGAGTAAAAGACAAAGCTGTTCTACTATTTTTAGCAGACAGCCTCTCCTAGGCTTGCCCCCTCTCAAAAAAGCTCCCATCCGTGGGCTTTGTGAATCTTTTTCAGATAAGCTCCCGTTTAGCCAGAGAAGCCCACACTTTCTGGAGCCTGTGTGTTTCCTTCAGAGGAAGAACTGGCACATCCTGGGTCTTGCTGCCTACCCAGGAGGTCCCACTTTCTGGGGTCACCCTAAAGGACCCCATGTGCTGGGCAGGCTGCCCCAATGGGGCCCTCAGCCAGCCAGCCACAGAGCAAGATGGAGAGGGGGATGAGCACCTCACTGGGGCCACCCGTAAGTCCCTGCTGCTGCATGATGCCTCAGCGACTTAATAAAGCTGCTGTTGTCACAGGGCCCAGGGACTCAGACAGTTGCTTCCAATCAATGCTGGGAGGTTAATTACACATTTACCTGCAGCCTGAAATCCTCACTGAAATGTGAGGGCTGGGGAGTGCTCCTGGTTGCTCTGGCACCCGCATTGTAAGTGGGACCAGAAGAGTGCATGTGCCTGGGTGCCCTCAGAGCCTTTACAAGCTGTTTGCTGAGATTTTGGGATGCTCTTGTTATAGAATTGGCTCTAGGAACGATCCTCTCCCACTTTCTCCCCCATCCCGCTCCTTACCTTTGTGCTGAAGTCATCCTGCTCCCTTCTGTGGTGTTTGGAGCGAGGCGCTGAGATGCCCACGGGGCAGGTGGTGGTGAATTCACCCATTTTTAATAAATAGATTTTAATTAACTTTTTAAAAAGTCCAGCTCATCCTAATTAGTGGAGGGTGACTGCATTTGTTCTCTCAGAGAGTGGGAGAGAATGCGCTCTGTTTTCAAGACCATCTGCTCATGAATCCTTAAAAAAAATGGGAGAGGAAAACAAGTGTTAGCCACAGGCTGAGACAGGGTGAGGGAATGCTGGCAGCTGGCCGGCCTGATGGGGTTTTGGGGGTGGGGAACTCTTAACAAGAATGCTGTAGGAGGGGGTGGTCATCACCTTAAAGCGTGGGGATGGAGGTGGTAGCATAGGGGGGAGTGTTGGTAGCTCTGGGGCAGATTATGCAAGGAGCTGGCCTGGCATCTTGAAGGGACTCGAAGGGACATCTCAAATGTGTTGGGGTGCTTTTCCAAAGAGATCCTTGTGAGCTGGCTGTGGAGCCCGAGGGAGGTTGGAGTCCAGCTGGTGGACGCCAGTTTGAGGTTTTAGCCCATGGGATGGGCACTGTGGTGACAGCTGGGTCTGGGGGTGCAGTGTGGAGATGGGGCTGCCTGGAGCCCCCATTCTGCTGCTGCTTTGCTCACTGCACTCTGAGCCACAGTGACCACGTGCTGAGTGTCCACATTTACTTGATTTCCTTTCCTCCAGGATGATCCCCACCTCCAGTTCCTGGCCTGAAGTCAGGCATGGCGGCTTTGAGAGCTGCAGAAAGACCAAAATCTTATTTAATTATTGTTTCTCCGCATCCTACAAAGAGAAGCATGCCCTGCTGGGAGCAGTGGTTCACGTGGCCTCATTCTCTGTGCCCTCCAGGGAGACGATATCTTGGACCGCAGCTCAGAGCTGATCTACACGGGAGAGATGTCCTGGATTTACCAGCCCTACGGACGGAACCAGCAGCGTGTTTTCTTTCTCTTTGATCACCAGATGGTTCTCTGCAAGAAGGTAAGGACGTCCAGGCAGTGAGCAGTGCTGCTAAGGACATGCTGGGAACGGGTTTCCAATCCAAAGTGGTTTTTAGGACAAGGTGGCTGTTTGCTGTCTGTGCAGAAGAGGATATGGGTAGTGCTACATGCTACTGAATTACAGGGTGGTGAGTATAACATGATGGAGGGATTTTTATGCTAGTAGCAAATTCAGCCTCCCCTTGTTCATTTCATGCCTTTTTCTCATGTGCCCCTTGTTTTGGCTCATTGCCTCACTTCTACTTTTGGGTTTTGGCTGCAGCATATGATCTGGGATTAGATAGCCCTGGAATTTCTAAACAAACTCTAAAGCCTGGCACTTGGGCAGGCAGCTCAATTACTGCATTAAAATGATGCTTGCTGCCTGTTGAAGAACTGTCAGGCAGCAGCTCGGTGTGTAACAGGGTGTGCATGTGTCACTCAGAGAAATACATTTCAAGCCTCATCTTCATTTAGCTGCTGTGCTGGTTTATAGAGGACATCTCTGCCATGAAACCCACCATGAATGTGAGAGAAAGGGAGTGAAGAACTAATGTGTTGTAGCACTGATAGCAACGGATGAGCTGTATTTTGGAGTATCAGGCACCAGCATCCCCACTAAATGGCCACAATCCCAACGAGGTGATCCCAGCTTGTTACCATCAAAGCTGTTTGGAGTGAAGTGACAGAGCTCACAGCTCTGGGTGCCTCTCCCTGCTGGCAGCCCTCACGTTGTGGCCATTTGTGCTGCAGCTCCACAGAACACTGTGCAAAGGGAGTTCCCTGAGCTGGCTGCAGATGCACCTGGGGCTGCGTTCCTGGCACCCAGGGTGTGCTCAGTGAGCTGACAGACCTGCATGGCACGCAGCCCCTGGGGAGTGTCTGTGGCTGCAGGAAGCCAGCGATGGTGTGGGTGGCTCCTGACTCAGTGCACCACTGCCCACTGCCATGCAGCTCTGCCCTGTGCCTTCAGTGGGTGGCACTTTCTTCTCCTGAGTCATGGTTGTCTGAGATTCTGCCTTCTGGAACGTGTGCACTTCCCTCCACCCACTGTTGTTGTGCCTTGTACATCTCTGCCGTCTCTGTTACAAAAAAAAAAAGAAAGAAAAAAAAAAAGCAGAACAGCAACAATAACAAACTCAGAGAACCATCAACATGAGTCTGCAAATATGCAGCGGGCCTTAATTCTTTAATCTTGACCTCCTAAACTTTGACTGTGACCCTGAATTTCCAATTCACAAGGCAGCATCCAGGCTGTGCTCTGGAGGGGTGTCAGGCCTTCCTCTGCTCTCAGGAACACCAGATCTGGGATGTCTGCAGCCATCAGAGTGAGCAGAGAGTGCTCCACATTTCTCAGCAGGCTGGGGAGCTGAGGGATGGGATCAGTATGCAAACAACATCCCTGTGTCACTGTCCTCTTCCCTTACGTATGCCAGAGTTGCTTTGTGTTGTGTGTGGCAGCATCATACAAGTGATGCTTCTGCAGGAAAGCAGCCTGCAGGTTGGAGCCAGCAGAGGCAGGTCTGGGGGTTCTCAGCTTCACAACAAGTTCAGGCAGAAGGGCAGAGGCTGCAAACTTATCCACGAGCCCGACCTCAAGGTCACAAGGACCACTCCAGGCTGTGCTGTGTCCTCCTGTACCTGCTCTTCCAACGCCAAGCCGCAGGTTCTGTTTTCCAGAGTGATGGGGTAGGAGGGGAGAGGGGCTGACAGCTGGACTTCCCCATCCTGATGGAGCTTTCCCTGAATGTTGTTAAGAAGCACTGCTCAAAGACAGAATTTGGGGGAGTGTTAGCTCACGTTTTGGGGCCACATATTCTACATAAAGTAAATGGGATTGGTTTATAGTTCATGTCATCCTGACCCTGTGTCGAGCTCTGCTGTTATGGATCACAGCCATCTGGCAGTGTGCCCTCCATGCCAGTTCCCACGGGTGAGATCCTGGGGCCTCATTAGTGAAGCAGCACTTACAACAAGGTGCAGGCAGCCCGGGGGCTGTGTGGTGCTGGTGCTTCATCTGGAGTGGGCAGAGCCCCACAGTTCTGGGCCATCTGCAGCGCAGTCTGGCACCAGGCACAGCAAAAGTGTGTGAGAGTGGCACGTGGCTCGTGATGTGCTTTTGTGTTCCACTTGCACAAGCCCTCAGGGAACTGAAGTTGCTTGAGTTCAGAAGGGCACAGCAAAAAGCTCAAGTTGCAGGTTTCTGGAAGATCTCAGAGTCCGGAGCAGCCCAGAGCTGCTAGCTTCTCTGCCTTGTATGCAGGGCAATGGAGTCCTTGCAGGCTTCCAAAGCAGCTGATGGAATGGTGCTCCTGGTCTTCCAGATATGAGTGGTGAGAAAATTCACAGCCAACCTGACCTGTGTTTGCTGAGGTTTGTGTCGTCACCAGGTTTGATCAAACCTTTGCGGAGAATCCCAAGGAATCTCCCTCCTCAGAAAATCTTCTGCAGATTGGCAGATGATGAGATTGTTTCTGTGTGGCAGAAACTGCCTGGCCTCCACTTACTCTCTAAGCCAAGGGGTTAGTGGCACTGTGGGTGTCAGTGCTAGGGAGCTCTGCTTCATTTTGGCTGCTGTGTGTGTTTCCTAAGGGCAAGGCACAATCTCAAAAGCCATCCTTGTTTGCACTGCTCGTGCTGGATTGGGATTGTTCTGCCAGCCATGCAGGCAGATGGCCTGGGAGGGTTTCAGCAGGACTCTGTCCTATGCTACCAAGAATTGCCACATTTCTGCTGCTCCAATCTGGTGTAGCCTGTGCGTGAGCAATCCATTATTGGCTATGGCAAGATCTCCATTATCCAGCTATCCACTTTCAGCAGCAGTTAATGTACTTCCATATAAACTCCCCTCTGCTTTGAACATGACTTGCTTTCTGGAGGCTTTGCAATCCCCCCCTTTCTGTTGTTGGCTGTAAATGTGAGGTTGTGGCATTGTTTTGAGCATCTGACTGGGATGTTCCTAGGAGGGAGGCTAACTACTCTCAGGGGGGTTCTTCCCAAGCTCCTGGCAATCCCTGCCCTGTTTGATGCACCTGCAGAGGATCAGCAGTACCACCAGCAGCCATCTGACAGACAGGAGCTCACTGATTGGCACTCACTATGCTTAGCAATCTGTCCCAAACATTTCAAACAAAGTTTCAGCATCTGTCTGGACTTTCTGATCTGTGGGCACCTACGGCTTTCTTCAAGTTGGGATTCCCCTCACTACCTGTTGTTGCCATGTAGCAGGGGTGAGAAGCACTGGGAACTGCCCCCAGGCAGGCTCCTCCTTCCTCACATCCCCATCTCTGAGATTTGTCCCAGGGCTTCTGCAAGGGAAGCTGGGACAAATGTGCATGCATCTATTGGGGGATTACTTGGCCAACGCTTTGCATGTAAAGGAATGGCCATTGGTGCAGTCATTACCAGGACCATACTGAACTATGAGACGAGATTTATACAGCTGCAGTGATGCATCGGTCACATCAAGGGGCAGAGCTTGGACCCATCCCTAGATAACAGCACAAGTTCTGCTGCCCCCAGGGCAACAGGTCCCAAATATCTTGAGGAGACCTTAGACAGAGACCTGGTTTGTCAGAATAATTAATTGTGAAAGGATGCATTCAGGTGAGTCCAACAGGTGTTCTCTCTGCCATTGTAAGTATATTTAAGTCTGCCTTACAAGGGCTGCACGAATTAGAGCAGCAGTAGCAGGTGGAGATGCTGGTGTTGTGACAGCCAGCTCCCAGATATGGCAACCATCTTGCAAAGCAACTTGTGTGGGGAAACACTGACAAATAAAATTGGTTTCTGAGTTTCACAGATTAATTTATCTGGCTCAGATTGCACCATCAGAAACAGCACTGGTCACTTCCCAGTATCACCAGGAAATCATTCAGTGGTCCTAGAAAGTGAGATTTCAGTAATCCAGGCCTGGGCCACACACTATTAATTACAATCATATCTTGCTATGTCAGGGAATGCTTGAGGTTCTCATCATGTAGTAGATGAGCATCTCCTTTTTTCTGTTTGGATATTCCCCAGGCTCCTAATTGCTGTTAGGAGCTGTTAGCATTAGGCTGGAAGGACAGTGGGAAGTAGGAAGGGTTCACAGCGCTCCTGCACCAAACAGTGCTTTCTGTCCCCCATGATGGGGCTCCATGTTGTGTGTTTTTTGGCAGCGCTAAAAGATCTGCATGAAACACATTGAGCTTTCACTTGCACATTTTATGTGTCTCTTGCAATCAAGATGCAGTGTAAACTCCAGCTTGTGGGTTATTGCTATTGCTGTCTTCCCTTGAGCTCCCGCAGCAAAGCAGGTTGGATGGGAAGCAAAATGAGAGCGGCTTAATAGCAGTAGCAATAGCCAGCCAGAAATAGCTCTGCTGTAGGAAATGGGGTAAATAAAATAATCCTGTCAAACTCCATTGCAGTTCAAGTTCCCAAATAGGAAGATAAAAGAGACATTTCTGAGCGCTGTTAGTGGAAGGAGGCCTAGTTCTGTATCACTTCTGCTAAGACAGAGGTAATCTTCACAACACCACCACAGCCTGGCTTTTATTGCAGCCAATAGTGCTCACAGGGCTATCTGAAAACCTTGTTTGTAAACACAGCGCAGTATGGGGATGATTCTTGTTACTTCAAGTGGTTTTTCACTCACAAGGCACAGTTTGAGTTTTGCAGCACCTTCCACCCTTGCTCTGTCCATCCCAGCAGTACAGATCCCACAGAATGACACACACTGGGCTCGGGTCCGCCTGTGGCAGGGTTGCTGTGCTGTCCTGTGCTGAGCAGTGTGGAGGGACGTGGCAGTGTGTTGCACTCACAGACGTTCTGCAGTCTGAGGTAATGACATTGCATGGGATGAGCACAAAGGCCAGTGCTGCTGCTCTGGCACTGCAGTGCAGGCTTGGAGGGCCGCTGGGATGCAGGGGATGGGCAGAGAGCAGAAGGTCAGCCAGGAGCAGACCTCTGCCTGGGGCAGGAGAAGGCTCTAGGCCAATGTAATGTAATGTAATGTAT